AATATTCATCAGTTCTGTAAGTTTCAAGTCAAAAGGTAAAATGGTTTTCCACTTATCGTGTTATCGGTGCTGCATACATGCTGAAAAAAGTGAAAAAACAGCATAAATTCCCTAAAAGTGACCCGATCATGCTGATTTTCGAACTTGGCCTGCATATTATGAATATTCATCAGTTCTGTAAGTTTCAAGTCAAAAGGTAAAATGGTTTTCCACTTATCGTGTTATCGGTGCTGCATATATGCTGAAAAAAGTGAAAAAACAGCATGAATTCCCTAAAAGTGACCCGATCATGCTGATTTTCGAACTTGACCTGCGTATTATGAATATTCATCAGTTCTGCAAGTTTCAAGTCAAAAGGTAAAATGGTTTTCCACTTATCGTGTTATCGGTAAAAGTGCACGGCGACGGCGACGACGGCGACGACAGCGACGACAGACGCAGATGATGGCTATATGTACAGACACATCTGTGTCTGTACATAATAAAAAGCAACCTGCCTCTTTACAAATCATAGCCACTCACTTAATTTACAGTAAAACAAAAATATGATTTGGAAGTTATGGAGCTAAGGTTATGTGTCAGACAACGACAGAGACAGCAACAACACAGACAGACAGACCGATCTGAATATATAAAGACACTTACAGCATCTGTATATAAAAATGAAAGAAGCAAATGGGCAAAATAGATGCTAACAAAGTTTTTTAATTTTTTTTCAAAATCAGAAATACTAACATACAGCTTAGCATATTTTTCAAACTGAGAAATTTCAATCAACATTACAGCAACAAAATGTATGCTTCAAATGCTTACCAGGCAAGTTCAAATTGCATTTGCAGCACAAAGATCCTTCAATAAAGGTGGGTATCTTTGTCTCATTTAGGATTCCCTGTGTGTCAAAAAATTATCATTCATTAAAATGTTAAGCTTTTAACAACTACTGTAGAGGATGAGAGAGGCAATACCACCTCCTGGAATTGTACCACGAGCTAGAGAAAGCACATTCGTATGGAAAAAAAAGGGATACCACCTCCAGTGTTGTGCTTGACAACCTCTACAAAATGCAGTTAACAAGGGTTCTCAATTTTTTTGTAAAAATAACAATTTATAAAAAAGCCATGGGGAAAAGAAAAAGCTCAAATCCAAGGTTGCAGTAAGATTTTGAATATGAGGCTTCCCATCCAAGTTCAATAGTAATTATAAGAGCTTAAAAATTTGCAAAGTGCAGTTCATGGTGAAAAATAGGTCAATTTCAAGATCACAGTAAGATGATCAATATATGACTTCCTATTCAAGTTCAGTATTAACTATTGGCATATCTCTAAATTTGCAAAGTGCAGTTCATGGTAAAAAGTAGGCTAAAGGTCAAATTCAAGGTCATAATAATATTTCCAATATATGACTTCCTATTTAAGTTCATTAGTAAACATGGGCATATCTCTACCAGTTTTGGAGATACAAAGGCCAAAAAGCTGCAAAGTTCAGTTCACAATGAAAAGTGAATCAACAGTGAAATTCAAGGCCACAGTAAGACTTCCCATTCAAGTTCAATAGTAACTATGCCTAGACCAGTGCACAGACAAAGCCCAAAATTTACATAGATCCAGCTGAGATTACAGCTACGTATATATGACCTAAATCCAAGAGATGATTGTAGTCTAAAAAGAGAAGTGGTTACGGTAACGTGGTGGCTGGCAAGACGGGTCGTGACTAAAATCATGTGTACTGCCAGCGCCTTGCTAGTGGTACAATAAACTTAACAAAAATTAAACTGCAAAAGTGCCAAATAATTCTAAAAAGCACATACATAATTAATAAATTAAGGATATTCTTCCCTTTCAATTGCTTTTGTGTAACAGTGAACTGAATACTGAATATCACAAAATTTATCATTTTAAACCTTCACTGATAAAAATATGGAACATGTACTTCAAGTTATGAAGACTTTTTGCCTTAAAATCAAAAGAATTGTTAGAGTTTACATTGAGCAACACCCACCTCTTTAATGCTATCCTGGAGATCATCCAGACTTATTCTGTCGGCAATTGGTTTCTTTATGCACTTCAGGGCCAACTCAGCAAATTTATATGTACATTTGAACATCTCCTCTGGTTGAACAGGCCAGATTCTAGGTAAATCTTTCTGTGCCTGAGAAGAGAAAGAGGGCACAGAAAAGCAAAAAACAATTTGGTAATGGTGCAAGACACAAGATTCTACAATAATTTCCCATTTATGGCCAATGTCAACATAATCTTTATATTCATAAAGCAGAGCAACAAGTTCATGGTGCAAAGAAGGTCAAATGTCAAATTCCAGGTCAGTACAATTGTCAATCAATGATTTCCTATTGAAGTTCAATAGTAATATATCTCTGCCAGTTTTGGAGATATAAAGTCCACAAAGATGAGTTTGTGATGAAAAGTAGGTCAAAGGTCAAATTCAAGGTAACAGTAAGATTACCAATATAAGAATTTTTATTCAAGTTCAATAGTAACTATGAGAATATTCTTGCTAGTTTTTGGAGTATTTCACCATTGAGCATTTCGATGTTTAACATTTTGAAAAGAGCACAACTTCTAATAAATGTTTGGAAAACCAACATAAGTGTTGCTCCTGATAAGCCCTACAAAATGCAACAAACAAGATGTCTCTAGATATTTCTGCATCTAATGACTGCCACTCCTGTAAAAATGACCCCAAACTAACAAAGATGAAAGGAAACCCAAGTGTAGTTCCTCACCATAGTATAAAAACTTATGTCCCTGTACTTTCTGAACATTGGCACAAACAAATATTTCTTTGCAGAAAATTCAATTTTTTACAAAAGTTTGGCCCGTTTGACCTTGAAATAGGTGAAATCCAAGGGTATATTTGAAATCTCCACATGACTTTTGGTCAAATCTCCACATGACTTTTGGTCGGACTTCTGTAGTAACTTTTCCCATTATTCCTTCAATTTGGGGAATATTTAGGATTCAATTTTCAAAAATTTTGACAAGGGTGCATTGAGATGAGCATCACAACTAGGCAAATGCATCGACAGAGACCAAAATAAAGGGCGATCAAGTTTAGATTATATGTGATCTAATTCCAAGAGACGGAGACACAGGCCCCTCTAGTGAAGGTGGAGAAGCTGTAAAGGTGACTTGTATCCCCCAACAGAACATGGAGTCAGCAGAGCCATATGAGATGGGTCAAAACTAAAACCATGAGTATTGCCAGCAGTCATGTTGGTGGTGCTAATTAAAATCACAGTTACACAACTTTGGACAACTTCATTTTTGTGATGATCTAACAACACATTCCATTACAAATCAATATGTATTGCAAATATCCACATGTACCTTGTCAGTAACCTTTTTCACTTCACAACAAGTTCCATCTTCATTCCTGAACTTCTCCCAAATGTAACTTTTGTTGTCCTCCTCATCTTCATCTTCATCTTGTTCTGCTTGCATCAACCTCAGCATAACTAAAAAAAATTACACAAGAGAAATACCATATCTATCATTTACTGAGGCATACACAGAATACGGAGGGCACTCTCTAACACACCATTTTTCCAGACTGTCCCTAGCATAGCAAGATGTGGAAAAAAATGCCCCAAATGCTCCCAAAATGGACCCCCTTTTTTCCCCCTCAAGATCATTATTTGCATAGGAGAGGTGGGGGCCTGCTTGACAACCTTAATCCACCAAGTAAATCTATGTTACAGATACAAGGCACATTTACAGTTAGAATTTTCTACATGAGAAACATAATCTGAGTATGCATGAAGCTACCATGAAATATACATGACTTAATAATGTACCACAAAACCATTAACAGTTAGCCCATACTTTATCAAAAAAAAAAAGAGTGACCATGTTGGTTCAGTTTGTAGTATAATTTACAAATCAAAAAACATTTGTAAAATGCTATGTAAAAACATTCACTAAGACTGGTTTCCCATATCTAGATCGATCTAACAGGATCGATCAATCCCAGAGGGGTTTCTCACCAAATTGCTTTCAGCTTAAGTGGCCTAGATGTCTGGCATGCCTACTGAAAGCAGCTTCAGTAGGCGTGACAGACATCTAAGCCTCTTAAGTTCATTGCAATTTAGCTAGAATCCCCTAAGAGATAGATCAATCCACAGTTAGTACGATAGGGTCTGGGAATGGTCCCTCACACAAAAATATTTTGGAATATGCTTTGGCACATGCATTATACATAATCATTATCCCTTATACACATAATTTCAAGACTTAATACTATGCCATAAAAGAAAAAATAAAAAAGGCAAATTTTCTGCAGTATATATGACAAGGTGAACATTAATCTTTTAAACAAGCTCCTAAGTGAACAACAGAGCATCTTGTATATGAAAAGCTGCATTAAAATAATTTATAATGGTTGTGAAATATATGAGAAACAATAAGTCTGTATTCATCTTTTTGAAATTTCTTAGATACTTTCCCCATTTGTACTGAATATTTAAGCTAATACTAGCACAGCTACTGACTTTGTGATCCAATATTTCTTACCAACTCCAACACTGAAAACATCATATTCCTTGCGGTACTTGTTCTTATAGGAGTAGAAAAAGTCTGGATCCTGATAACTAACAGCACCATGGCCAATAGCAGTAACCTTGCTCTGTTTAGACTTCATCTCTGTAGCCAATCCATGGTCTCCAATGCGGGCATTCAATTTCTGATCCAACAAAATGTTGCTGGGTTTGATATCCATGTGGAGAATAGAGTTTCTAAAAGGCAAAACCTTTTATTAGCCAAAACGAAGGAAAAAAATTCTCCATGGAGGGAATGCTGTAAACACATGCATTTCAATGCATCAGCACTGTAAAAAGACAAACAACATTTATAAAGTTATTACTATATAGACTTAAAGATTTTATAATTTTCAATCCTTTTAAAATCAATGTTCAAATTACACATTAATTTTTCTTATCATGGCTCTTATTCATCTAATCAAAAAATAAAAACTGGATATACATAAAATTTACCAAAATGTATTTGAATCTATTCTTCTTTTATGATTGTTTATTTATTTTATTATTATTTTTTTTTTTACCTAATTTTAACACCCCCACTCTTAACTGGTGTGTGAAGATATTGTAGGCCTGCACAGACTTGGTATATAATGCGGCACCTGTCACGCCAGCCTGGTACAGGACTTGTATTTTTCAGTAAATAATCCAAGTCTCTCTTCTCCATATATGGATACATCAAATAGATTTCCCTGAAGGTAGGAAAAACATCAGCCAACACTGTTCACAAGCAAAGTTGGTTAATCAACTGCCAAAAAGCAGTTATTTGTTTGGCGCAAACCCAAACACGTATGATGTTATCTGATATGTTCACCAATAGAAAATTTGATTCTGGTATGTCTTTGTCCCAGATTTAAGCGTGTCATTTAAGTGTCATTTTTGGCTTAGAATTAAAGAGTTCAAAATACACACAATGTTTGGCAATGCAAAATTGTTTGTTATAATAAGACAAATCCACCCCCTTTTACATAAAAGCACCCCAGTGTAATCCAACACATAGGAAGTATTGTGGATGTGAAGATATATTAAATACAACATAAACAAAATAAATTTTTACTTAACCTCAAGAAATGAAAATTTGAAAGCAGTCCCTAAATATTATTTTTTTACAACCAGCACAATGAACAGGGACTGCAGGAGGATTGCACAGTGGGGTATTGCAATCAGGTGTACACATCCTGAAGTTGAAGGACTGATATATATATATATATATATATATATATATATATATATATATATATATATATATATATATATATATATATATTGCTTTATATATTATTATATATTATTCTTATGCTCTTTTATACTCACTTCTGTGTAGCTGCAACTGCATATAATGGCAACAGAAAGGGATGTCTTATATGACCAACAATCTTTTCCTATTAAATATGAAAGGAAGAAATGGTTAAGAAAGAAATGCAACTATTAAAACCAAACCTCAAATATTCAGGTTTCTTTACATGACATAACACTGACAGAGCTCTGTAAATTATACTTTATATAAAATCTTTTTTCATTTTAGTCAAGCCCAGCAAGACATTCAACTGGAATTGATAACTAGCTGTAATTGGCCAATTATCTGGTATTTATCAACTGCAAATCAATAATTACTTATATTTGTAACTGAAGATACCTTCACATACTGGAGCTCATGTTCCTTTTTGGCTTTCTTACAAACTTTAATGGCAACTTCTTTGTCTCTGTATTTTTTGGAACCTATAATGCAACAAGGCCATTACAGATAAATATCAGTAGCAAAACCATTAACAAGNTACCAGGAACTAATAACTTTACACATGTGTATAATGTGTGCCGAAAAATATAAATAAACAGGGTAACTTTTGCAAAAATAGACCAATACAGCCCATATTTGAACTGCATTTTAGTGACATGAAATGCTCCAGTGTTTCATGATAATTATCAATACAGTTATCCATTTATTGCATTTACATTTGAAAAGTGCATGGCAATGACGACAATAGATTCAGATGATAGTTCATGTTCAGACAAACTTTGTCTGTACATAATATGCAATCTAAGAGCATTTAACACAGGCATCTTAAATACATCTTTCAAGACATTAATTAAAAAAAAAAAACAAATGCTACTTACCTTTAAAGACTTCCCCAAAGCCACCACTCCCAAGAGAATTTTCGCTGCAGTATTCCTTCATCTTTTCAACACTCATGTACTCAAGCACTGTCCCACTATTCCAACTGTCTTCTGCTACAGGTGAGCTGGGCACAGAAACCTGTGCTTGCACTGGGTACCTAAGGCTATTCTCATCTTCACGACAGGCGCTGTCAGAGGGGTGTGCTTGTGTGTGGCTAACTAACAGCATATGAGGTTGTCCATCACCCCTTTCCAATTTAACAGGAACCAAGGGAGTGCATTCACGATGTGTGTCAACATCATCTACTTTTGGACTAATGGACAATTTGGCCATTATATGCTCCAGACCTGAACTGGTGATCAGTCTCATATAATCTTCAGAGAACTCTTTATTCATTTTGGAGTTAATATCATATCTGTCAATATTTTTCATCAATTGCTGCAGCCTGCTATCATCAGTTTCAGAAATGATATCTTTTTTTAACATAGCGGTGAACAACTGAAGAGGTGAATCAATGTTCTCGTTTTCTCGCTCCTTGATTTCATCTAAAAGAAGGAATTTCATTTTATTCAAATCACCAGAAGTCAGCATTTTAGAAACAGAGAACAAAGTAAATATATGTTTGCTAAACATTTTGTAGTCTTTGCTTTGCAGTTGAATTCCATGATTTCTGTAAAAGTCTTTTATTTTCTTTACAAGATCCTTTCTCTCAACCTGCTCTAAGCATAGCACCAGCAGTATGACATGATGGCATTCAAGCAAATCTCTTTTTTCCATTTCCTCAAAAAGCTTTCTAGGTTCTACGACGTCCTGGAGGACACCAGCACTAATGAAGTCTGTCATGAGAAATTTGAGTCCTTCTAGATCCTTTTCTCCCAATTGCAAAGCTACATCATTCAACAGTCCTTTGTAGTCAGCTAATGATAGTGTTTTCTTATTCAAGTGGATTTCTTCAGCTGAATAGGATAATCAAAAATGAAATAGGTGTGGTGTCAAATGACAATGTTTAAAACTTTAACTAATTTGCTAAATTAGCGATGACTTTAAATTTCCCTTCACATAAATATATATTTAATACGAAATTATTTCAAGCACACACAATATCAAATGCTCAGATTCAATTGATTTGTTCTGAATCCCTCAAGTAATGGAAGTTAAACTGACTGCATACATTAATATCTATCAAACATGATGAGCTCATTTGCTTACAATATACTACTTGATATAATGAATGTGTGCATGTGCACTTGCACATACTTAACAAAAAGTGACAATACTTTTTCTATATAAAATAATGTTGCATTTAGTAAGTAAATGAACCTAAAAAGTTAATAAAAAGTTAATAGAACCCCATTATTGGTACCATTTTATTGAAGTCTGTACAGGGAGTATACCTTATCTATTCACACTTACCCATAATTTGATCAGCATCCATAGCTGGGAAAGGATCCATCATTTTTCCAGCAGGACTTTGAGCCATCCTGTTTGCTATTATCTTGAGATCCTCCTCTTGAACAACTGGGTTGTCTCCAAATATCTGATGAACAGCATGCACTGTTGAAATCTGTTCTGGGAGTCCCTCAGCCTTTACATCAGCTCCCAAAATAGCCAAGGGAATCAGGGTGTCATTTTCTAAATGTTCCTTCAGTAGGACCTGCCCACAGTATTTTTTCCATGAACCAAAAACAGGACTTATTACTATGATAATCCATTTTGTATTTTTGCTAAGTTTAGATAATGCAGTAAAGATGTTATGGCCAGGGAGCAAATCCCTGTCCTCATAATAACCTTTCAAACTATACTTGGATTCTAAATCACAAACTAATTTCTTAACAAAAATTTCAGTTTTTCTTACTAGATTACAGTTCAGGCATTCCTTAGTTTTTCTGCAATTTTTGCCATTTTGATGATCCTGCAGAGATTCATAAATCACAGCAAAGTCAATAACAGGAACAACTTTGGGCGTTGTTCAAGAGCAGTCTCACAACTGGCCCAGCTTCTCAATTTCTGTTGATCAAGCAACCTGGAAGAAAACACCAAATGTACTGAGCTTGTTCTAAACTTGTGATAAGTATGTTTCTGCATCTAATTTAGCATGTTAACCCTCTTATTAAGACTCACTAATTCCACAATAAATTATTTTAAATTAATAAGTAAATCAAGAAATTTTTAGTTTTAAAAAGCACAAAAATACTGAGGAATACACAAGTCAAAAAATCACATATCAAATTTTGTATCAACTTCTGGCTTAAATGTGTTCAATAATTTAGTTAAGGAGCACCCCAGCCCAGTTACATTTTACTCGAGGTGACTTAGGCTTCGTTCACATGCAATGTCTATTTTCTATTTTCTATTTTCGGTATGTCTTATAGTAACTGGCTCGCGCTGCCAGTAATTACGCCGCGGGATATTCAGTGCACAGACCGTGATCATAAGACATACCGAAAATAGAAAATAGAAAATAGACATTGCATGTGAACGAAGCCTTACTGTTCAGTTTACCACCCTCTGACCACCAAAAGCATCTGGTCTGTTTGATAAGTTACAAAAATTGCAAGTGCATGCTACAGGGTATTCAGCAAATTTACAAACACATGAGAGAGAGAAAGAGAGAGAGAACCTCATGTAGTGTACTACAGTACCTTATTCTTCGGGTGCTCACCACACCCATTTAATTATGCCTGAAAAACTTCAGCCCCATCCAGTTGCAACTGAGCAAGAAAATGGACACAGGTATGACAACAGGAGTCAACAGCAGGTAGTAGCACACTGAAGGTGGTTCAAAGCAATGGTTCAAAAACTTGGCCTGAAATTAAATCAAAACATACTCCATTCCAAAGATCAAAATGACTAATCTGTGATTTCCATAGACATCTTATCTGATATCATCACAATTTGCACCCAAGAATTATCTGAACTCATTCAAAAACAATGACTTTATTATCAGTGACCACTTCATGTGAAAACAGATGACATAAACCACCATGAAAGGCAACGAGTATATTTTGACCAACCCACTTAAAAGCAATGCTGCATAATCCCCTATTGGATTCCCCACCTCCCTCACGCACCATCCCTTGACAGTAAGAACATCCCATTGTAATCTCAATGATTTTTACCAAATGTCAAGCTCTTTTATTTTAAATCTGGAACTTTCTCTACCTCAGAGATCGTAAAGTCTGGATAATCCTAGGACCAAAATTTAAAGTGTATTCATGCTCAGCTCTCATACTTATTGTGAGGCAAAAATCAAGTAACTATATGAGATAAAAATCAAGTTGGGCAACTTTTTGGGTCCACAAACGACAATAAACTCCCACATGTATAGAATGGTTGAGAAGTCAATTAAAACATATACATTTGACATAATAATGTATTACAAGTTGGAAAACAGCATATACTATTCTCATATGCAGGCCTATTGGACCATAACAGGGGGAATGTAGTTGTGTCACAGGGGCCGTAGCAATAGTCCGAAGGTTCAATAGTCCGAAGGTTCATTGGTCCGAATATTCACTATAGAACCTTCGGACCAATGAACCCTTGATTAAAAAATCGATGAAAATGTTACCACTTTTCGGACCAATGAACCTTCGGACCAATGAACCTTCGGACTATCGAGACGCCCCCGTGTCACAAGCCCCAACAAGCATCCACAATCATCAATGATCCTCCACAAGAACAAAACGTTGAAAAATTAACAATTAAACAGATATTTATTATGCGATGGGTTTTGTTTGTATTTTATAATAACACTTGCTGTTATTCATTTTTTGTCTGTTATAATGATGCCATTATTGGTGAACATTAAAATATTGTTTTTGATTATTTGCTCTG